GTGTTTTTATTTTTATTTTTTAAAAAGCAGCTTTCTCCATCTATTGTAGAGTGAAAGACTCACAAAACCAGAGGAAGCCCACTATACAGGGGAAATACTTCAACTAACACTAGACAAAGTACTGCTATACACACACCCCACCCACCCCGTCTCTATCCCTTTCCCTTTCAGTAATAGCAATCTTAGGTCTCAATCCTTCAGACTTATGCACATGTTTTACTTTACACATTGCAAACAGTTCCACTAATCTTCAGTGAAACTACTCCCAGTGCATGAGGTTAAGCAAGTGGTAAAGTCTTTGCAGGATCAGGACCGTAAACCCTAACTCTGCAAAAACTTAAGCATGTGAATAGTCCTGTTGAAGTCATATGTCCAAACAGATACTCACATACTTAAGGTTTTGCAAAACTGTTTTGCCCTTACATATTACTTGAAACAAGAGAACATGAAAAAAGCCAAACCCCTGTTTGAAAATTTGATTAAGTTGACAGTGTCTTTTTAAAAAGAGATGCCCTTTCTCTTTTAAATTCAATTAACTATATGAGTACAAAATTCTGGAGGGACAGAAGCAATTATTTATTCTTACAATACTAAAAATGCCTCTTTCCTCGAGGACTCTTTTTTTCTTAAAGTTCCCAGACCATCACAACCACCATAAGCTCCCTAATTCTTTAGTCAAAGGGACCAATACCATATTTTTTGTTTGTATCTAAGTTCCATAAGCTCCAGCACCAAGAATCCTCCTTCTCTTGATTCCATATTACGAATCAGCACGTCTTTCCAGTGCTCCGCTTGAAAGCTGACTTATGGCATGGGAATGACACCCCTTATTTGTCTGGGTTTGTGAGCCGTTGACCAGTGACCCAATTTTTGTGTCTCTGGCCCCTTCCCATCCAGCATCAGAGAGCCAGTACAAATAAAGACACTGTACAGTTAACATTCCCAGTCTTTCTAAAGCAAAACTTTTTTTTGAAGGGGTGGGGGGGGGCGGAGGAGGGGCTAACTTCAGGCCTTCTATATAGATCAGGGGTCGGCAACGTTCGGCACGCGGCTCGCCAGGGTAAGCACCCTGGCGGGCCGGGCCAGTTTTATTTACCTGCTGACGCGGCAGGTTCGGCCGATCGCGGCCCCCACTGGCCGCGGTTCGCCGTCCCGGGCCAATGGGGGCGGCAAGAAGCCACGGCCAGCACATCGCTCGCCCACGCCGCTTCTCGCCACCCCCATTGGCCCGGGACGGCGAACCGCGGCCAGTGGGGGCCGCGATCGGCCGAACCTGCCGCGTCAGCAGGTAAATAAAACTGGCCCGGCCCGCCAGGGTGCTTACCCTGGCGAGCCGCGTGCCGAACGTTGCCGACCCCTGATATAGATCATAATGCAGGAAAAAATAGCATAGCTTGTTTTTAAAACAAACAAACAAACAAAAAAATCACACTAGAGCCTTAGAGTGTCTATATACAACATATTTAGGCTTGACAAAAATCTGATTCTTTTTGTAATTTTGACAATTAATATTGTTTTTTATTTGTAAGGCTTGACAATAATTGTTTTTATTTGTAAGAATTTTTTCATTTTTAATCATTTTAATTTTTGCAGTGGCAGGAAATTAAGGGGGGGGTGGATTAGTGCAGCATGGACAGCGGGGCTGCAGAGAGCTCTCAGTGCTGACAGCAGGGCCAGAGACACCCAGGCACAGGAAAGTCTGTGGAGCAGTGACCCCAGGCCAGGCTCATGAAGAGAAGGACAAGCTCCCAGCCACTGGAGAGACCACCCTACTGCTGAATATGCCCCAGACTCCCAGCCATGAGTGAGCGAGCTGCCAGAGTCAAGACAGGGGACTGCAGAGGGCTCCCTGCATAGCCCCGGACCAGGGACACCGAGGTGTTGTGGAGGCCATGCTTGCTAGCTGTTATTGATGGATTTTTTTTTTCCAATTTCTGTGTGTCAGGTGAAATTGACATTTACCAACAATTAATTATTTAAATTGAATCCTGCCAAGCTTAAACATATTTAACACATGGCTCCTAACTGTGCATGTGGCATAATGTTTCAACCCTGCACATGAGATGAACAACAACATGATTGTCAGGCCTGCAATCAGGTTCTTGGGTAGTTCTGCTGCTGCGTAGACTGGAATACTTAAATGCATGTATAACAAGGTTAGCAAGTCTTCTTAATTCCCAGGCTTCTGAGCACCGGATACCCCAATGTGAACTACATCATCTGAAAGACACCCACAATCCTCTACCTATGGCATCAGGGGAGGGAAGATGGGAGAACTGCCTGATTTTTGCCAGAATGCAAACAAATGTAACTGTGAAGCATGGTACGTATGAACAAGCAAATACAACTGACACAAAAATTCAATAAAGAACCAGACATGTATACAGATAACAAGATCAGGCACATGAGATAGGATTATTTTTAAATATCAGGGGTATAAACACTCTTGCTTCAGGGCATAAGCCAATCACTAATGGGAGTTTCAAAGAAACCTGTATTATTCCACAACTGTCTACTATGGAGTTTCTTGCACCTTCCTCTGCAACTGGTATTCGTCACTGCCAGAGACAAGACCCTGGACCGCAGGAACCAATGATCTGATACACTATGGAGATTTCTGTATGTTGGCAGAAATGCCACTGAGTGGTTGCATTGGACTGGATTGAGCCCAATCCACACAAGAAAAACATGTAACAGTTTTTAGTACGTGTGTTACACAGCTAACAGCTGAAACTGTATTACTGGGGTTCTAAGCTGTATTGCAGATAGGACATGGGCATTTGACATCAGCTACTCCTGCTCAGTGACTAGTTATTAAAAAGCCTTGTGCTATACACCTGCCAAATACTGTTACAAGTTTTCTAATATAGCTGGGAATGTTTACCAGGTCATGAGTGTGTCAGTAACCTGTTATAATCAACGTGGCTCAATCTATAGCATAGACGGGTTAGAGAAGGGCTCTTCGAGAAGGAACTAGTATAGCCAAAGTTTTTAAACATGGTTTACACTGTTAGACAAACTGATTGTAACCCTGTTGGGGTGACCCAGGTTTTAAATTAGTCCTTTCAACAGTTTCTTCTTCAGTGCCGAGACGGCTTTCAATATGACAAGCCCATTCCATGGCTGACTCCAATGCCAAATAGCTTAGAATATTGTCTACACTATAACGACAGCCATGGTTTTGTATCCTGGTCATGGACACCCTTATCTAACCAAGTTACAACTAAAATGGTTTTGGCTACGCAACAGGCTTTTTTCCCCACAGCACAACCACATATCCATCCTGTTTGCACATCCATGCTACCTACCAGTGTTTGTATCAGTGCATCCTGGGGAAACTAGGCAGTTATCTTTTCAGGTATTTATATCACTAATCAGCACAGTATCCAAGTGCTCTCCTATAATGCCTTAGCAATGGATGTCAAGTATCAGAGGGTAGCCGTGTTAGTCTGTATCTACAAAAACAACAAGGAGTCTGGTGGCACCTTAAAGACTAACAGATTTATTTGGGCATAAGCTTTCGTGGGTAAAAACCTCACTTCTTCAGATGTTTAGCAATGGATGGAGTGCCAAGAGGACACACACATAGAGGAGTAAGACATACAGAAATGCACTCAGATATCCTCCCAGTTTTCTGAGTGGTAGGAAGTAAGACCAGCCAACTCAGATGCACAGGCACAGTGAGGGAATCCATTTACAAAACAAATTAAGTTTGTCAGAACAGTTAGAGAAAAACAGCCATGCAGTAGCCCAGGCTGCTGGCAAGGGCGTTAACAGCTACCAGAGTTATTAACTGTAATATAACCATGTTCGGCATGGACACAAGCTATGTTTACAGCCAAACAGACGACTAGTTACAAACTCAGTTAAAAGTTATAGTGTAGGCAGGGCCTAAGGAGCCACAAACAGCAGAACTAACCAAGTACACTAGTTTAAATGAGTGGGCTTCAAAGCTGGATCTAGCCAAATGTCATGCTCAAATCAGGTTTGGAACCCAAGTCTAAGGCTAGATGAAAAGTTCAACTAAGAATCCAGAGTTTCTTCTGAAAAATAAGTGTTCTGAACCGTGCTTTGGCTATTTCTACATGACTGAGCTCTCACACAGCACTGTCCCAATCCACCGACCTCAAAGAAGGTCAGTATCATTATCTCCATTTTACAGAGCGGGAACCTAAGGCACAGAAAGGTGAAGCAGTTTGCCCAGAGTCACACGGCAGGTCAGCGTCAGAGCCAGGAATCTGACCCATGTCTCCTGACTCCCGGCCCAGTGCTCTATCAAACTTCTCACGTTTAGCCAACCTTATCCAAAAACCTGTTTACATAAGCAAAGAGGTCAGAGATGTCTGTTCTCATCCACTCTCCCTTCCCATTCATCTCCAGGAGAGAACTCTCTGCTATATATTTGTCTAGAGCAGCGTTTCTCAAACTTTTGGAAGCTGAATCCCACCATCAAGAAAATGAAACTAATCATAGAACCCTGCCATGTGTTGTTAAAGGCCTACCTACCTTAAGGTATACGTCTTCTTCCACACATATGTGCACACAGCATCAGACAACCCCAGGGAGGCGTAACAGTGCACTTTAGGAAATGCTCATTTAGAGCACTATCCAGTCTAGTTTTAAATGTTTCAAGTCATGGAATTTCTAGCATTCTCCTGTATTCTATGATTCTAGAAAGCTGGCAAGAAGATAAACCAAGGGCAACCGGACTCAGACCTAGCAATTAGTATCATGTCTTGAATTGAGAACCATACTCGCCCCCCTCCCTCAAATCACATGTTTAGTTTTAAATGAAGGTTTTAAGGCTAACACAGTGTGAGAAACTTTTACACATTAGCTGGGCAGTTGGAGGCTAAGTCAGTTCACACAACAGAAGCCAGCACAAGGCACAATATCTCCACTTATGGTATAATAGAACCTCCCATGAAGATAAACTGAAGTGGATGAATCACTAGCATATTATAAAATGATATATAAATACAGACAAAATAGAGACCAACCTTAATTTGAAGCTCTTCTTGTCTTGTTTATATCCGCTCTACTGCACTGATTCGAACACGGGGCTGAACAAGAATTTTTAAAGAGTCTTCTATTCCTCCCTTTTACTTTACTTTTTAAATAAACAAAAAACCCAACAGAACAGCTTAAACTCTTTGTGAATGATTTTACAATATGGCTCTCGTGTCAGGGAAGCCTAACTTCTAAAGTTAGATCATCAGATGTGATATTAAAAAAGGCAGACTTGCCTAAAGAATTTTCCTAATAACTCCAATGCCAAAAATCTCTCCATCTACCTCACCCCACCGAGAAAAGGAAGGAGAGGAAGGGAAGATCCAAAAAAAAAAAATCTACCCTGCACCCTCTAGGTCATTTCTTTTAAAAACATATTTCTTCTAAAGCTTTGACGCTACTCTGTTTCCTTATTATTAGTAGCTCCTTTGCCACTTTTGCAAATACAGGGTGGATCTCTTTTTAAAAAGGAGGTTTTGTCTACTTTCCTCTGCTCCCAATTTATTTTGTTCTAATTTTATTATAACTAACTAAATTTCTGGGAAATTTAAGTTAGAGACTCTACCACAATAACCAAGAAAAAGTCATTAGAATCTGCAAAATACTTGAAAATTCAACCTGTACTTTCTTCTTTATTTTTAATTGTGATGGTTACTTCTAGTGCTTGTCTTCACCCCCCCCACACACACACACACTCTTCTCGTAATACTACTTTACCCCAAAGAACAGATCCCTCTCCAAAAGCAGGAGATTTAGAAACTGGGTGTTAAATTTTCAGAAAACTGGCTTGCCACACAGCTGTTCAACTTTAAGGCTCTTCCCCACGCTGCACAGCTGTGTCTTCCTACATTCTTTTTAAATATTAAAAAATTAAAAATCTGACTCCCCCAGAAATTAAGAATAAGCTCCCAAAATATAACTAACCCGCTAAAATAGGGTTATCTGAAGATGCTTAATGTCATCACACAGCTCGCTTTTTGCCTGTGATTGCTTCTTTCCTCCCTTTCTATTAATTAATATTTGCTATAACTACTTAGCAGTTCCCACATTTCAATATGCAGTTCTAGTCCTGTTTTCCTGTCCCTGACCCCCTTTCCTCTCCCTTCCTAGGCCAGGGAAATTTGGTTTACTATGAAGCTGAGAAAAGGCTTTTTAAAGTGTCTTGTTTTAATGTCCTGCAACTCTCTCCCCCAGAGACGACCCCCTCCTCTCCCACACGTCAATATACACATTTAATCCTGCCCCCCCAAGTAAAAAATAAATCAGGAAAACTGGGTTTATTAGAAGCTGGAAAATGTGTATGTTTTTAACTGGCTTATCCCCCCCCCCGAAAAAGCCACCCTGAGACTCCCCACCTGCCTGTCACGCTTCTCTCTCCACCTCTATTGCCCCCTTCCCACCCCCAACAAAAATAAAGGTCCCAGGGAAAGAGGGCTGATGGGAAGCTAGAAATGAATGGCTCGCTCCTCCCCAGCAATGATCAACCCAGGGACCCTCCTAGCTGCCTGCTCTCTACCCTCTCTTCCCCACCCCCCCGTACCCCAGGAGGTGGGGCTCAGTGGGAGCTGGCACAGGGGGCCTATGGCAAGTGCTCCCCCCCCCCCCCGGATCAGCTAGAGGCTGCCCCTCCCCCCAGAGAACAGGACACCCAGGGACCGGGGGGGTGGCAGGAGCTGGGGGGAGCTTGGACCTTTGCAGGGGCTGGTTCCCCCCGCTCCTCCTTTCCCCGCCCCCAGGGGCGGCTGCTGCTGCCGGGCTGGGGGGCTGCCCCGGGCTCCTAGGCCTCTCACTCTCTCCTCAGGATCAGGGCGGCCATATTGGATCCGTCAGCTTCTCTCCCCGTCCGAGGGAGGCGGCCGCTGCCGCTAGAGCAGGAGCAACATCCGGGTAACCGGCACCGCCTCCCGAGTGGGCGGGGGGCGGAGGAGGGGCTGCCTACATCCGGGGTCCCGCCGCCTTCCTTCACCGCCATAGGAAGGAATGGGGCATGGCCGCCATTTTTGTGGCGGGCAGGCTGGCGGCTCCATCCGGGTTATTCACGGGTGGCTTCAATACCATTGGGAAGAATGGGGAGGAGGCTGCCATGTTTGTAGAGGGTAGACGGGCAGGCACATCCGGGATCTGACTTCACAGCTACTGAAGAGAATGGGAGAGTGCTGCCATCTTTGTTATGGGCAAATGGGCACGTGGGAAAGTAGGGTCCGCTGTTGAAGCAGCGCAATGAATCCAGCGGATGAGCGTTCCCTTGTATTTATTAGTATCTAAATAAAACATACGTAGTGCCGAACACCAGTAAAATCCGGGCCAAGAAAAGCCATGCACAAAAAGATGCTGTTTTAATGCATTGGTTTGCTTGATGCAGGTTTTCTCCCTTGCTATTGCCTGTATTACCATTAGGAAAATTGTTATTAATTGCTGTTTATAAAGAGGGCTGATGGGTGATCTGGGAGTGAGGAGACCTGGAGTCTATTCCTGGCTCAGCCCTTGATCTTGGGCATGTCATTTCCTCTGTACCTCAGTTTCCCCATCTGTAAGATGGGGATAGTTATTATTATTTATTTCTATTCTGGGAGTGTCTGGTGGCCCCAAGCAGGGTTCAGGGTCCCAATGCACTACGCTCATAGTCACACTGCTATAGACAAGATGATCCTTGCCTTAAAGAGCTCACAATCTAATTCTCTAATCCTGCAAAGACACGAGCTTAACTAAACTATATAATTTAACTAAGCTATATAAGCACTAGGCATTATTGTCATTAGGTACTGCGAGCAGTCCTCATGATCAGCTAAACCTAAACCATCCCTTACAGGTTGGACAAACCCCTGTCAGGGAAGGTCTGAGGTTTACTATGTCCCGCCTCAGCACAGGGAGGTGGACTTGAGGACCCTTCTAGCCCTCCATTTCTATGATTCTATAATCTACAGTTAAGTCTTTGTAGGATCAGGCCCTAGGTAGATGACAAATAACATTTACATTAATTTTCTTTTGAAAGCACTTTGAGCTCTACAGTTGAGAAGTGCTAGAGAAGAGCTAAGAATTATTATGTAGATCCATATATATTTCTTTTTAAATGCATATTTAAATATTGTGGTCAAACATTAGTTGTTTATAACAGCGATCCAGCTCCATACATGTGACTCCAGCTGGGTCTAAGTTTGTACTAGTCAGTTCTAGCAGGATCAGGGCCTTAAGGTCTGCATTGTCATGAATCTACTGTGAGAATGTATCATCACCTCAGAAATAAGGAAAACATAACCAGGGTTAATACGTACCAATTGGAAAGGAAGAAGAAGAAGAAGCAGCAACCCGGTGCAGTGGCAAATCACCATTTTAGGGTTGCTGGTATTTGGCTCTGTCAAATTTAAAGGGCTAGCTCCTAGAAAAGCATGCTGGGAAAAAAAGTTCCTCTGGTTTATAGGGATGAGGCAGCTACAAAGAAAGGTGCTTAGAAGCTGCTTGTGTGTGTTGTGTATTGTATTGTATAAACGGCAGCTGATGTCAGACAAAGGGACATGCCTCTCTGGAAACCACTGGTATTTAGGCAAATAACTTCCCTGCTCTGTGACTCTGTTTCACCTTCCACTCTTTATCTGTCTTGTCTATTTAGCTAGTCAGCTCCTTGAGTCTGAGGCTGCCTCTCACCATATGATTGTACAGCACGTAACATAATGGGGCCCTGATTTGCTTGGACTCTTCAGATGCTCCTGTAATATATTAATAATCAGCTGGAGAAATTCTGCTTTTCACTAGCCCTATAACTCAGTAGGGCAGAGAAAAATTAAAAGCCTCATTCTGGCATTCTAGAAGAAGTAGCTATTGTCCACGGCTTACTAGCTCCAAACTCCAAGTGTTGAGGCTACAGAATGACTTAAGACATATTTCTTCCAGTCCCCACTACCTACAAAGGGTGGTGGAAAGATCAGAACAGTTTGCTAAGAGGATTCTATGACAAAAAGACCCCATGTTATCCCTGATGTCAATCCAGCACTAACCCCAGCTCAGCTACTTATGTATGGGTGGAGTGACAACTCAAAACAAATATGCTAACTCTGACAGGTACATTTTTGCCCTATGTGCCTCTCCTTTAAATGGCATGAGGTTGAGAAACACCAAATCAGGTCTTCTTTAACTGCTAAAATGCAGCTCAAAGCTGTCTACCAATATGACACACACCACCTTCCCATTCTATCTGAGCACCTCACAACCTTTAATGCAGGGGTAGTCAATAGCCGGACCGTGGGCCAAATCTGGACTGCCAGACGCTTTTGAACGGACCCCAAAATCTTTTCATTTACTTACTATCATTATCATTGGGTTTGTTTTTAATTATTATTTTCTCTGAAGACTGGACCTTGACTATACCTTTGACCAAGAAATTTGCACCTGGACAAAAAATAATTGACTACCATTGCTTTAATGTGTTTATCCTCACAACACTCCTGTGGAACAGGGCCATGCTGTTCTTCTCATGTTACAGATGGGAAACTGAGGCACAGAGAGGTTAAGTGACTTATGCCAAGCAGGATTGAACCTAGGGCCTCTGGAGCTTAGTTCATGAGCCTCTATTGCATGAGCTATAAGCCAACTAGTTATTAGCTAGGGTTGTAGAACAAACTAATTTTCTCTCTCTCTCTCTCTAAGTTGTCTCAGTGCCACTAGATGGGACAGAACATCACACCCAGAAGGTGTGTGGGTTATACAAGGTCACACAGGGAGTCTGACATTGCAGGGAATTGTCTTGCCCAAGTCCTAGGCTAGTGTTCTAAGCACTGGACCATCCTTCCCAGGACCGGCTCTAGGCACCAGCAAACCAAGCACATGCTTGGGGCGGCACAATTCCAGGGGAGGGTTTTTTTTGTTTTTGTTTTGCTTGGGCCAGCAAGGCCCTGATCCTTACTCTCCCTTAAACTCCCTCAGGAGACCCAGTCCTTATAAATTTGAATGAGAAACAATACTGAACACGAATAACAACTCCCTGCTCTGCCACACACTGCCCTGGGCCAGTCCCTTGCCTCTGTGTGCCTTGGTTCCCCCTCTGTGCAATAGCGATAGTAGCCCTGCCCTGCCCTCTAGAGGTGTGAGCTGTTATCCAGTGGACATCTCTGCACTCTGAGATCATTGCTAAGACCAAGCAAGGTGCTTGGTACAGGATGGAAAGAACAAGTAGCCTCTTCCGGGTGTTCCAAGCCCAACTGAACTGAATTGCTCTGTGATCCCTGTAGCTCTGTTACGCACAGCACTGTCCATATAAAGGGAGAAGATCCTCTTGAGAAGGGTCTGAGAGGAACCTACCCCTATTGGATTTGACAGTCCCAGTGAATCAGCTGGACAAGCCCTCCTCCAAGCCCTGAGCTGAGGAGATCAGAGTGAGAGGAAGCCTTTCACTGATCTGTAAATATTTATCAACATTTATGGGGGCAGAATGGGGGAGGGAAGATTTGAAGATAAGGACAGACCTCTCGAGCCCACCTCATTTGGGGGAAAGTCACTCGTTTTTGTCCCCCAGTTACCTCCGTTCCGCACAGAGCTGTTGTTCTCTCACCTTTATCACTGAAAGTTATTTACATCAGTTCTTGGTTTCCGAGGGTTGAGTGTAGCTGGACTCAACGTTCTGGAAGGCGCTTGGTGTTCATGAAGTTTGGGAGCATTTCATTTACACTAAAGAAATGGATCCCAAATCATATTATGTTTCCTGCAAGAACAGTTTTTATGTCCCTCATTTTGGGTCTTTGTCGCACGTTAAACTCTGCATCTGGGCCTTCGCGGGTTGAGAGAGAGATGGACACATGTACTGTTTCTTTAAATCTGGAGCAGGGACCCAGGCAGAGGTGGGGCTGGGGAGTCCACATGGGAGAGAAGTGCCATCAGTGCACATACTGTAGGAAAAGTAAACTGGAATTTAGTGCTCATTGGATCACTTGATGATTACCTGTTCTGTTCATTCCCTCTGGGGCACCTGGCATTGGCCACTGTCGGAAGACAGGATACGGGGCTAGATGGACCTTTGGGCTGACCCAGTATGGCTGTTCTTATGTTCTTAGTTATGCCCATGAGGGAATCCCACCTGGAGAGAAACCCTGTCAAACTGCTGCCAAGGGGAAAAGCAACTCAACACTTAGGAAGAATCAGAGACGCCACATGGAGGAGAAAGTGGAGATGCGTTTCCATTTGGGGTCTAGTCCATGCACAATAATAAAATGGGATGGAGTGATGGGGGGGAATAGAGCTGGGTGCTGGGGGTAGTTATTGTTGAAGGACCAGGAAGAGATGAAAGGTGGGGAGGAGGGGAGAGAGCAGGTTCATGGGGATCCCCAAGGGAATA